CTCTGCTCTAATCCTTCTTTCTTCTGCTAACATTGGGTTGTTTGTTCTTTTTTTTTCTAATTCCTTACATTGTAAAGCTACATTGTTGATTTGCAAAAAAAAATTTTTTTTACATCTTTTTTTAACAACGGGAGGTATTGGGGATTGAACCTAGGACCTCCTGTATCCTAAGCGTGACCTCTAGCACTGAGCTATTCCCCAACTCCAAGAACTTTCTTATTTTTTAATGTAAGCGTTTATAGCTATAAAGTGAAACAGTGTCCCGTAAGCTTTGGCATGTTGTGTTTTCATTCATCACTAAGAATTTTCAAATTTCCCTTATAGTCAGTCTCCTTTGATGCATTTTTTTTTAAGAGTATGTTGTTTAGTTTCCAATTGGTGAATTTTCCAATTTTGTCATTGATTTCTTACTTGATCTCATTTGGTTTTAGAAGATACACTGTATGATAGCTATGTTTTCTAATCTATTGAGACTTAATTTGTGGCCCGACATATGGTCTATCCTGTAAAATGTCCCACATGCACTGGAGACTGTGTGTCCTGCTGTTGGGTGGAGTGTTCCGTGTATGTCTGTTAGATTTATTTGGTTTAGTGTGTTAAGCCCTCTGTTTCCTTATCTTCAGTCTGGCTGTTCTAACCACTACTGAGAGAGGGTATTGAGGTCTCCAACTCTTATTTTGGGACTACTTCTTCCTTCAATTCTGTCAGTTTTTGCTTCATATATGTTTAAGGTCTGTCATTACGTACCTAAATATTCATAACTGTTATATATCTTATTTCATTGAAACTTTTATATAATTGCTTCCCTTGTCTCTTGTAATTTTTTTTTAAGGTAAGTTTTTATCTGATACTATTATACTCACCCCTGCTACCCTTTGGTTACTGTTTGCATGGAGTATTTTTTTACATCTTTTCACTTTCAATCTATTTATGTATTTGGATATAAAGTTAATCTCTTGAGACAGCATACAGTTTGATGATTTTTTTTATTCATTGTTTCAATCTCTGTCTTTTCACTTAGGAATTTAATCCATTTACATTTAAAGTAACTACAGACAGGGAGAGACTTCCGTCATTTTGCTATTTTCTATATGCCCTGTAGCTTTTTTTGTCCTTCATTTCCTGCATTAGTATCTTTTGTGTTTAAGTTGATTTTTTAATAGCAAAACATCTAAATTCCTTTCTCATTTCTTTTTATATATATTCTATAGCTATTTTCTTTGCGGATTTTATCTGACACTCCACAGTTATAACACTCTAATCTGAATTTATACTAGCTTAATTTCAGTAACACAAAAACATTCATTTAACAGCTCCACCCCACCCCTTCTGGCTGTTGGTCAACATCACAAAAATACATCTTTATACACTGTGTGCCCCTAACCATACACTAGTAATTCTTTTAAATGCATTAGTCTCTTAAATTATGTAGAAAACAAAATGTGGAGCTATACTAATACTAGCCTTTAGACTAATAATTTTTTTAAACAAAATGTGGAGTTACAGTAATACTAGCCTTTAGACTAATATTTTTTTTAATGTATTAGTCTTTTAAATAATATAGAAAACAAAAAGTGCACCTAAGAACCATTGTTTTTGCCTTAAAAAGTTATATTTGCCCCGTGTTAACAACCCTGACTGAGGGCTTCATTCCTCCACACAGCTTCAAGTTACTGTCTCCTGGCCTTTCATCTCGCTTGCAGGACTCTTAGAGCATCTCTTGCAGGACAGGTCTAGTGAGTTCAAGTTTTCTGGATGTTTCATCAAATTTGGGCGAGTTTCAGACATTATTTCTTCAAATATTCTCTCTAGCCCTTTCTCTCTCTTCAACCTCTGGAACTCTCAGAATGCGTATGTTGCTTCTCTTCATGGAGTCCCACAGGTCCCTTAGGCCCTATTAACTTTTCTTCAATCTTTTTTGTGTTCCTCAGACTTAATAATTTCCATTATCTTCAAGTCTTCTGATTCTTCTGCCTCCTCACACCTGCCTTTGAATCCTACTATTGCATCTCGGTTAGTTTACCTTCAGGCTCGATTTCTTTATGGTTTCTTTTTATGGGCATTTCCATTTTGTTCACTTATCACTTTCTCGGCTTTCTCTGTATCTTTCTTTAGTTCTTTGAACATCTTTAAGACAGCTGTTTTCAAGTCTGTCTAATTTTTCTACCATTTAGGTCTTTTTTCAGGAACAGTTTCTGTTGATTTTTTTTTCTTTTGAAAAGGCCATACTCTCCTATTTCTGTTTATGCCTTGTGATTCTGTTGTTGTTGTTGAAAACTGTACATATGAATCCAGAAACATGTAACTCTGGAAATCAGATTCTCTCTCTTTCCCAGAGTTTGCCATTTTGTGGAGGTTTTATTCCCTTGTTGTAGGCTGTCTCTGCTGAAGATCAGCAAAATCCTTCTCCCAATTTTCAGACACCCTTCACACCCACCACCTTATCACAAATGGACAAGGGCCAGATCCTCATGAGACCCAGGGGCCAGGGTAGCCATTCTGTGTAGGTCTGGATCCTAGCTGTTACCACAGCCCCAGAGAGGGATCCAGACACTGCTGCTCACCAGGACACTCTTGAAAGTTACTATTTTGTTATGGAAGAGTACAAGCCTCCAGTGTGTCTCTACAGTTTTGCAACAATATAGGACCCCACCTTCAAGCTGTTTTCTCTGACTTTGATGGGTTAGGGTCTGAGGCTTCCTGAGATGGAGCCAAACCCACTAGACAAATACTGGTGGCAATGGCTAGGCAAGGATGCCTGTTATGAAAGTTGTGCCGTAAGATCTTGGTTGTGCACAGGCACTCCCACAAGCACACACAAAGGCACACAGACACACACACATGCTTGCATATGGGCACTCACACAGACATGAACACCCAGGCACCCAACAGAGGTTATATGTAGCACAGTGCCAGGCTCTGCAAGTTTACACAGGTAGCATTCAGGAAGACTCTGCAGTGCATCTTTTGTCATTTCTCACTGGGTCTTCCTCTGCGTTTCCCTTTCTGGTAACCAAGATACACTCAGACACAATTACTCCTTGCTTTGTGACCGACATCAATGTACTCTAATAAAACTGGCCTAGAAGACCCAGTAGTTGAGTGTGGGAGCTGCAGGGGGTGCTGACTCCCCTAAACCCTCTTTCCCCAATGACATGTGATGCAGGCAACCAGCCCAGTGCCAATCTGCAAGTCATGGGCCTGAGCAGGGACTGACATCCAGAATTCAACTCATCCAGATGGAAAGACCAGCCTACGCGGTTGCCACCACCATGCCAGTCACCATGATATGAACAGTCGGCTGCTCTTCTGATGAGGTTCTCAGCCCCCGGAAGGTGTGCCAGCTGCAGGGGCATCTCCCTGCTGCGTTTCTCTGACTTACCTCTGCAGAGCCTGCATCAAGCGCTTCTCCAGAGCCAGTGAACAAGCCATCTGCGTGCAGAGTGGAGGCACACAGGGGAATTTCATGTTTAGGGCTGATTGAAGAGGCTTTAATGGACATTTGAAAGTCCCTTCTACATGCATTCTTCCTTTCAAACCCCGTACCTAATAACCTCATACTCTGTGTTGAGATGCGCTATGCATAATGGAATCTGAAAATCCTTACAGAAATCAGTGTTGCAGGGACACTCATTCTATAAAACTGGGGAGTGTTATCCAGAACTAAATGAAATACTGTAGGCTACAATTTTCTCCCTTCAGTCACTGAAAACTTATTTTTAAAAAACAAATGGAAACTAGATTGCTTCCTTATTTACCAGAACACTTGGGTTCTGATCTCAGCAGCAGCCTCACAATGACTGAGCATCACTGGGGTTAAGTGGCAGGAGGTGTCCCCATCCAGCTTCCACCAAACGTTCCTCAGAGCCGTGAAGGCAAGTGCAGTCTCCTACCTGGCCTGATCACCTGCATGCACCTTGTGGAGGGTAAAGTGAGGTGCCCAAAGGCCGTGAATCAGAACCGCTTCCTGCGCCAGCATGTCCTGCAAAGTGCCTGTTTTTCCAGGGAAAGAAGCTGAGTACAAGCTGCTGCTGCTTGGATGTTTCTAGAGAAGAGGCCTCAGGCACCTGCAGCACCCAGGGGACCTGACAGTGCCTCCCATCTGCCCTCTGCACCTGGCAAATGGACTATCACTCCTGATATCATATGTGGCCAAAATCTTGGAAGGAGATGAGCCAATCTGCAGAGTTCCTGCCCCCAACCCTTGTCTCACCAAGATTCAAAGTTTCAGAAACCAAGGTCCAATGGCAGGGGAGGCTATCGAGACAGCTGCACTCACACACTGCACGGCGGTGGAGGGGGAGGTTACAATGGGAAGGAAGGTGCCCTGAGATCTCGGAGAGCTGGAATTCTGCTCCTCCCAATGGAAGCAGCAGCAGATACATGTTTCGGGGAGGGTATAGCTCAAGTGGTGGAGTGCGTGCTTGGCATGCACAGGGTCCTGGGTTCAACCCCTAGTACTTCCTCTGAAAATAAATAAATAAATAAACCTAATTACTACCCCCCCACCAAACTTTTTTTAAAAAATAGAAGACATATGCTTTCTTTAACATGAATGCCACTGCAGTGCTATGAATTTTCATGTAGAACTGAGACATCTTTTCTTCAGACTCTAAGGGCGTGTGTGTGAGTTTTGATTTCAGCCTGGCAAGACAGGAGAACCAGAAACACCCAGGAAGCATCCAGAAAAACAAGGCACTGTATCTGAGCATGTGGGGCTGGAGGACTGCAAGTGAGACTTGCTGGGGAGGGGTGCTTGGAGACTAAAAAGTCCTTAGTGGGACCTGATGGGTCTTCTGTTGGCCGCTGGCCTTAGGCTGTGTGAGGATTTGTTGCCTCTTTCCATCTCCTCCATACCCCAACCCCAGGGTACCTGAGCCCCATCTCCCCCTAGATCCTAGAGACCTCGGGACAAGTGGCAGCTCGGGACTCTCAGCACAGGTTAAAAGGAGTCTGCTCCGCACAGTCACACTAGGCTTCACATTTCAGGATGAAAACCATTTGTGTCTCTTCAGGTTCCTGTTCGAGTTTTATTCAAATCCAGAGCCATCTGGTACCCACAGTAATGCAGACAGCCACACAGGTGCGCTCAACCCTAAGCGTGGAGGACTGCCTCCTCTGCCTTCCCAGCAGGACTGACTTCTGGATGCAGAGCTGTCCGCACGTAACCTCTTCAGGTTTACCGCTGGCACGCCAGGGTACCGATGAACACGTTCTACCTCAAACAGGCAGGACTCTGATCTGCTCCTGTCATCTGGGACGTCACGGGACATGAAAACCCAGCCACGTGCACAATCCTGCCACGTCCGCAGGGCCACCAGCTTCAAACAGGAGCACCTGCGTCCGGCTCTGCATGGCCTCACAAAGCAGGTTCTGCGCATGTCCACCACCGAGTCAATTACCCCTCCTTCCCTCAGCTTGTCGCAGAAACCAAATTCCTCGGAAGGTGGCGTCAAGATGAGGGCTCTCTGCATGCAAGGCTCTGCTAAGTGCCTTCACACACGTCACCCTGCAACCCTCCCGGCAACCCCAAACAGACGCCATTGGTATCCAGACCACCAGGAAATGCAGCAGAGAGGTCATCCAGCTCCAGCACGGCGGGGTAGGGCCGGGTGGCTGCAAAGCCCTGCTCTGCCACACATAAGCAGACAAACCTTCAAATACAAAGCCCGGATAACGAGGACTGACTGCACTGCGTGGATCCAAGAGCTATTTACACTTTCCACAACCCATGCCTCTTCTCACAGTAACACAAGGAAAAGGGCTCAGACCGCCCCTACACGAGGGCTTCCAGGCCAGTTCCTGCCCCATGCACACGGGCATCTGGTCAAGACCCTCTCCCTCCATGACCCCTAACAGTCACCTCGATCCTTTCCCTTTGCCTCCAGTTCCTGCTCCACTCCCCGGAGCCCCCACTCACACCCCAGGCCATGCTCCTCAGGAAGGGCCCTTCTGCCGTCCAGGGGCTCCTCACCCTCCAGCCCCAACAGGAAGCTCTTGGGAGAAAGGTCATCGTCCACGGGGGGTTGAGCCCTCCTCTTTCTCACTTGCTTCATCAGCACAGCCACATGCTCTGGCCGTGCTGGGCTGGTGCCCCCCCGGCCCCGGCCCCTCTTGTACTCCAGGATCTGCTGGTTGAGCGCCTCGTGGTCAATTCCACACAGACTCGAGGGCACGGCAGGGCCCGGGGTATCACACGGCGATGCTGCATCCAAGGCCTTGGGGTCCCTGCAGGGGAACAACGGTCTTCACACTGAGCACAAACACCCCTACACCCCAACATCTGTCCAGGGAGACTGGAGAGATGGACGAGCTGGCTTGGCTGGGTGCTGCAGTCTAGAACCACTCGCCAGCAGACTTCCAGTGCAGCCGTTCTGTGCTGTCATTAAACACACTGTCCTTTTTTCCCACTGGAATGTGGCCAGTGCACCAGGCCAGTTAAACAGAGGTATGGGTGGGGTCTTTTTGATCCATCACACAGGCTACTTAATGAGTTAGAGGCTATTCTGAGAGCAAAACCAGAGCAATCCTTTTAAAACCCAAACCTGGCCATATCATACCTCTGAGTCCTCTAACTCTGTTCCGGGAGGGGTCTCCACCTGCCCCTCCCCACTGATCAGTGCCTTTGCTCCAGCTCAGAGGTACCAGGCAGGCCGGCTCCTGTGGGCCCTCCCTGAGGCCCTGATGGAACACGGGCCAAGAACCCGCCACAGCTGTTCCCTCTGTGGGAGCAGGCCCTTACACACATGCCCCAGATCCTTACGTCATCATCTGAAAGGCCAACCCTGATGTTTGCTGCTTCCGAGCAGAAAACAGGTTTCAGAGACTCTGCCATGTGCTCACAGAGGTGCCCAGTGGTGAGGACGTAGTCCGGCTCCCAGCAGGCGCCCAAGACAAGCATGCCGAGTGGACGGCAAGGGTGAGCAGCTGCAGCCAGCACTTGGAAGTCAAGGATCAGCCCTGCTGCGGGGCCCACTGAGGCCACCCGACAGCCTCCTGGGGTGCTGGGTGTGCCACCAGGCTGTCACTGGGGCCTGCTGATGCCAGCACCGGCAGGGCTCCAGGGCAAGACCCAAGGGCACAGTGCAGCCCCCACCCCAACCAGCAATCCCACACCTGGGTGTCCGTCCGAGAGAATCAGAAACATAAATCCACATGTGTTACCTAAAGTCATCTTGCACCAACTCTCCTTTTTCATCACGGGGTCCAAAATCAGCAACTGCCAGTAACCGATCAACCTGAAAAGGAACAGAGGGTAATCTGGCAAGCCGTGCCTCTCCACACCTACGTCCAAGCCTGGGGCCAGTGAGCACGGGCATCATGCCACCTGTGCCAGCGACTGCAGGCCTCACCCTGCTTCACATGGGTCCTTCCACTGATGCTCCAACACCTGTCACCTTAATCACATTTGCTCTGATAATGAATTGAGGCTTTTTGAAAACTACCCTTAAAACTTGTAAATCTCAGACTTCAAACTTACAAAGAAATCAGTTAAATATTAGTTGAATTACTAGCACTTACTCGTTAGTAAGATGCTTTAATTTTGCCACAGAATTTGTCTGAGTTAAAAAGCCTCCCAGCATGGCAACATGAGAGTCACAAAGTCTGGCGTGTGAATCCAGCTCCACAGTGGCTGATGCACCCAAGCTAGAAATGACTGCTGCTCCTTAGCGGGGCCACGATGGGCCTCTCCACCCCCACCTGCCTGTACTGACTGCCTGCGGATCGTCCTGCCCGGCCATGCACTGAGACCCAATGTCGCAGCAGGGGCCACTTCTCTGCAAGCCCAGGAGAGCCTGGACCAGAAATAGGACCCGTCGCTCCCAGCAACTGAAGCATCATCACCAACCACTGAGGTACCAAAAAAAACTACAAAGGTGAAAAGCAGCAGAAGCAGAGAAAAACCAGTCCACAGAAACTATTCACAATGCATATTTTGCCAAGGGCCCTGTACCAGGCACGTAATGAACCTGCATGGCTCGATGATAAGCAAACCTTATAAAAAATGGGCAAAGGTCTGAACTGACCACAAAAGAGGGACCAACCACGAGCACAAGGAAGACCCCCGGCGTCACTAGTCGTCGAGAAGATGCAAGTCTGAACCCCAGAACGGCAACCCTGAGTGTTTACTGGCGGTGACATCAACATTGTGGAGTTACTCAGGGCTCAGTCTGGACAGAGCTTATTACTGCTCCTGCTTCCCACGTCCAGTCACCGGACCTGAAGACTAACCTGAGGCTGCAAAGTAAGCTGAAAGTACTGTCACAGCTCCCTGTGATTATTCAGTACGTGGCAGGGCGGACGCCGGGTGGGCCTGAGGGAGCTTCCGATGGCATGATCTCCAGAGAGAGGGCCACCCAGAAACGCTAAAGCTCATGTGCACCTCCCTCCCTCCGATGACTTCTTCTGGAAAAGAACCCACAGAGCCAGGCAGGAACTTTCGGCTATTAATTCTTCCTCTACAGAGACAGGGACAAGTCACAGCACAGTGAAACCAGAGGGCGCACCGCTGGACAGACGGGACTCCATCTGCCAGCTGCCCTAGATGCTCACGGGTGAATTCCATGCCGAGTACCCGCACGGCACACGCCTGACCTAAACTCCACCTGAGCTGGAAAGCACCAGTGTACTGTCAGCCCTCTGTTCCCCGTTCTAGCCAGGAAAACCAGACACCTACCAAGGTGATTATCTGCATAATGTTTTCGGTATTGCTCGTACAATAAATGGCAAAAGACCACAATGTAATCAGATTCTTTCCCCTCCGTGGAGCTAAAGACTACCTAGTCCCACAGTGGGTAACAGCCCCCTCGTCATAATCTTGTAAACGCCACTTTCTGGGTTTTCAGCACACTTTTTAAAGGTATAACACACCTTAACAACCACCAAGTAACCAGCACCTAGATTAAAAAACACGTATTTTTTAACAGGTTTTAACTTTTGTAATTAACCTACAGCTAAAACAAGGAACATAATCATGACAATTGCAGCTACAGGACAGAAGGTAAGTGTCAGCCTTGTCGGTGTGAAGCAGCCACTGACAGGGGGAAACCCGGGAGGCAGGAGGAGCAGGCCAGCACAGGAGAGACTGAAGGCTGGTTCACTCGTTAGGGCTCTACTGACAAGCCCTCAAAAATTAAAGCCACAAAAGTGGTTACCAGAGAATCAGGCAAAGAACAGGGCAAGGGAGCCTAACTCTTCATTTGCACCCTGCTGAGTGTTACCTGCAAACACTGTGTACATCATCTTTTGAATATTCAGAAATTAAATTTAAAATCTTACTCATGTGAAAGTTTACATCATAAAAAGGTCATAATGTGAAAGCTCACCTCGGCTACTGCTGCGTATTTTTTGTCCTGAACAAACACAATCGGCGGCATGTTCCTCAGGATCTGCTGGGACATCACAAGATGCCTGGGGAGACAGAGGTCACAGGTGACACTCAGTGGAGGGTGACAGTGACAGAAACGTCACCTCATAAGGAGGCATGAGATCTGCTCATCACATCAGAAAGTCTTCTTTAGCCAGTGCCATGTTATGAAGGGGATACAAAAATGTATGACCAAATCTTTGTAAGTAGTCTTATCTGAATCTGGACACACCCTTGAGCATAACATGGCCGTGGACTCCGTGGTCCGGGCACCAGCAACAAGCCAGGGCTCCGTCCCTCTGTTCAGAGGACACTCACCAGTCAAGTGTGACTGACAGTCCTCAACTACCCAGGTGTCAGACGCAGAAATGAACTTTGTGTCCTTCAGTCATGCAGTACATGCAAGTCCAGGTGCCAGAGGTATCCAGTGAAAAGACTGCTGTGACACATGGCATGTCTGCTCAGTGACAGCAGACCTTGGTGCAAAGTTATGGAAAAACCTTTACACTAAACCTTGGGGAGCAAAAGAGTTGGGAAAGGGACATTCTGTTCAACTGAATTTTCTGACCATCTAAAAACTGATCAGAAAACAATACTGTCACCTCGATACTTGTTGGAAATCTCTCATTTTATTTCCGTTAAATGTCAAAAATGAAATTAATTGCCCATTCTTCGATATACAACTTTAGAGACTCAGGGTTAGTGTGATGGTGTCAGTAATCACCAGCAGGTGGGGAAGGAGATGGCATATGAAAATGCCACACCTGTCCCTTCCAAAGGGAAGGATGGCGACAGGGAGGCCAAGGAGGGACAAAATGGAGGGAGGCGGGAAGGGGGAACCCAACGTGAGTGCTCGTCAGTTGGGTCTCTGCATTTTTAAGACTGACAACAAAACCGAGTAACCTCTTTAATCCCAGCTCAGCGGTTCTCAAAATTCTTCGTCTTAGGACTGCCTTTACACTCTTAAAAGTGACTGAGAACAACAAAGACCTTCTGTTTATGTGGGTTCCATCCATCAATATCTACTGCACTAAAAGTTACAGCTGAAAATTTAAAAAATACATACATATTAATTCACTTAAAATAACAAACCCACTACATGTTCACAGATACTGAGTAATCAGTAAAAAATAACCACTACGTTATTTTAAAACTAAGCAGTCGCACTGCTTATGTAGTTGCAAACTTCTTCAACACCCAGCATAACAAAGACAGCTGGGTTCTTCTCTCCGTCTGCGTGTAATCTGATCTATCACTTTGTTTAAAACATAAAAAGAAAATCGGGCCTCACATAGACCTGTAACTGAAAAGGGGGTACATGAACAGCCCTTGAGAAAAGTGTGGATTTTCGACGCTACACAAAAACCCAACAAATAGTCATTTATTAAAAGTCAGCAGCAAAGTGAGATCTGCAGGCAGATCACTGAACATGTCACTCTCTGCACACTGGAACCCACTGGTCAGCTTCCCTTTGAGCCGCCCTCTCCCCGTGCACGACTCTGTAACCTCACCAAGTCACACAGATTCTCAGAATGAAGCCAAATGTTACATCACCAGCACCCGCATCAAAGAGGTCTTCTCTGCCGCAAGACTGTCAAATTTACGATGCTGGATACATGTTTCCAAAACCCTGATGTTCACTGAAAGCTTGAATTTTATCACTGGCAACAAACATGGTCAGTTGGTTTCCCTGACGTGACAGGTTTTTTGCTAATTTTGGAGAAAATGTCAAATCCCACATCTGAGTAACGGTGGTCATTTCACTTGTTCTTTCAAGTGAAGAAGTGTCCATTTTTGTTCACAATCCACAACTGCAGTGTTTTTCCAAGACAATCATCAGTTTCATGCATACTTCCCACCACACAGAATAATAAATAGATGTGCCCAAGGGTCGAGATTCAGTAAAATTAGTGACTTCTGCTTATTCATCAAGGATGTTCTTAAACAAAGCTGACAGCTTTTTACTGAGAGCACATGGCTGAAGCTACAACGACCACCAGGACATCTGACACAGCCCGCCCCACCCCTGTGGCTTCAGTGCAAAAGGAAGACAACACCTCACCATAAGAACTTTAACTCACAACCTCCCCCCACAAAGGACGCGGGACCCAGGACCAAACCCTGAGAACTGCTGACCTAGATTATAGCCGACAGAAAAATGTAAATTCTGCTCTGAAATCCAAGAAAACGCTCCCCAAATTTTCCTTAAAGGCAGAAATACTGGACAAACAGGCTGAGGGTCAGGGTCAAGCGGAGGCCTCACCTCATGTGTGCAGCGCTCCTCCGCAGCACGGCCTCTGTGTGCGCATTCTGAGCTGCAAAGAGACTGGCCTTCCAGGACACTCGGCAGGCGGAGAAGTCTGCAGTCAGAGAGACCTGAGCCCCAACCCCGCCCATATCACTCTCGACTCACGTGGGCTTTCTGGGGACAGGTCCGCAGAAAAGCACTAACTCCTGGGCTGTTGTGGCTTCGGGCACCCACCGCCAGGGCTAGTGTCCCAGCGCGAGAGCCACAGGCCACCTGCTGCCCAAGCTTGCATGGTGAAGAAAGCAGCTCCCAATCAGACCCCAGCCCCGTTCACAGAAATGCCTCAACCTCGGCTGCTCCCACTCTGGGGGTAGCAGCAGCAGAAGCTGCCGCCTCTGTCTTCACATGAGGCAAGGGCAGACACGTCCACCGCCCATCTGATCCCCAAGCCTTCAGACGCCCTATTTTGGCACTCACGGCTCCGGCGCTCTGGGTGCTGTCTGGGCAAGGACCCCACCACCACCTCACCCCCCCCCCACCGCTGTGCACAGTGAGACCTCTGCTCTGGCATCCCAAGTGCATCCTCCTCTCCTCAGGACCTAAATGGCCACACCCAGCATCCTTTCTGCTTTTAGGTGGCACAAAGGACCATGACCGAGGCCTCAGCAAGGCTGTCCGTCCTCTCTGGCCCCAGCGGGCTACCTTGGAGAGCTCCACATTCAGGTCGCAGAGCTCCTGGCTCACTTCAGGGGTACACAGCAACCCCGTCAGCGCTTTGTGGAGGAGGCCGTTCAGGGCTCTCAGGCGCACGTGATCTTCCTTCCTGGCTCTCTTGGAGGTGCTCTTCGCTAGGGATTCCAGCTGGGATGGCTTGTAAGTCTCCGTGAAGAAGAAAAGCAGACAGAAAGACCAAGCATTAGAGAGACTACAGGTTCACTTTCAGACCACCATAATAAAGCAAACACTGCAATCAAGTGAGTCACATGAATTTTTTGGTTTCTCAATGTACATAAAAGCTGTGGTCACCCTATGGTTACCCTATACTGTAGTCTATTACACATGCAATAGAAATACATCTAAAAAACAATGTATATACCTTAATTAAAAATACTATATTCCTGGGGGGGGGAGGGTACAGGTCAGCATTAGAGTGTGTGCTTAGCATGCACGAGGTCCTGGGTTCAATCCCAGTACCTCCATTAAAAAATAATAATAATTTTAAAAAATACTTTATTGCTAAAAAACACTAACCATTACCTGCCAATGCAGGGCAGCCATCAAGCTTCAATTTATAAAGACCAGAGCTTCTGGGAGACGCAACAAAACAAGGTGCGTCTATGTACCCACACATTCACACGTACTGTACACACACCACAGCGAAAGCTGAACGAACACCACCACGTTACAGTTTGATGATACATGTGACATTCTAGGAAGCCTGACTGCAATTTTTCTTAAAGATAAAAATTCCATGTTACTAGTGCATCCAGTCCCACCCACAGACCCTGTGCCCCCGAGTCCTGAAGTGGAAGGCTGGCCAGGCCAGGTGTGGCCGACTCTTGGAGCCTCAAGCCCATCAAGGCTCTAAAGGCTCGTGGCTGCTTCTGTATACGTACCAAGTGAGAGCCCAGGGAAGGACCTTCATACCAGAACTTCTTCCTAGGGGGAGAAAGTGAGAGTAACGCTGAACACTGATGGCAGATCAAGTAAGAAAAAGTTACAAAAGCTAACTTGAGGTTGTCATAACATAACTGTTTCTAAGGAGCTCGACCTGGACACAGAAATTGTGTTACTGGGGGTCTCAAAGATTCAGATGTCCAGACACCACAGGTTGTGGGAGAGAGACAGAAGAGAGTCTTAATTCAAGCTCGTAATTTTGACTAAGGTCTACTTCTACTCCCAAAGGGAGAGAAGGAGAATCTTAAAAATACAGCTACCAACTGCCCTCTACTTGATAAAGCCGTTTCCCGGGGTATAGGGACCGACACCACCACACGTCAACACTGGGTTGGAACAACCACGCAACAGAGGGCAAGTGGGGAGCCAGGCTCCTCTCTGTGCAGACAAGCCAGGGCAGGAAGCGAGGATGGCCCATGTGCCAGTGGGTGAGAGACGAAGCCTAGTGGCTTCACAGCTGCAGTGGTGACAGGCTGAGTGTGTATGGATAAGCACACACAGAAACCAGCGTCAACACGCTTCTGTGCCTGGTCAGCTGAAAGGGCCTCCAAGACAGACAGACACCAGCAGCAATGACATAAGCTCTCAGATTGTGGTTTCTAATGTCACTTTCCAATCAAAGGAACAAGAGCTCCTTGGAGAAATGGCTGATTCAAGGCTAAGGCATGCTGTAGTGCCAGAAAGCAAGGCAGTGCTGAAAAGCATTTCAATTTAAAAACCACTTCAAAACTCTATAGTGATGAGGTGTGTCAAAGGGACAGAGGAACCATCTGAAAGAGCTCCCAGAGGCCAAAGCTGGAACAATCTGAGCAAAATTATAACCAGGAGTCCACACTGATAGGAATTAATTAATAAATGGAGAAAAGACACATCTCCCATGCAGAATTCCAGGTAATTCATAAATATAACTACCCACTCCCTAGGTGTGGGCTGCATATGGTGACTTCCCCTGCAAAGAAGACAGAATGGAATGGGGAAGGGGGACTTTACAGTGGATAAACCTGAGACACAAATGACCTCAGACAGTGATTAAGACCGACACCAAGACTGAAAAGCCATGTTGACAGACTGTCCCTTGGATATAAGACAAAAACGGCACTTCACAGGGGTGGACTTCCTCCCCAAAACCAAGACCGCAATATAATCACACAAATCCCAACACAGGGGCAACCTACAAAATAGCTAACCAGTACCCCTCAAGCTGTCACGGTCATCAAAAACAGGGACAATCTGAGAAACTGCCATAGTCAAGAGGAACCTAAAAAGATGACAACTAAATGTAATGTGGTCCCTGGATGGGATCCTGGAACAGAAAAGGACATGAGGGCAAAACTAAGTAAACATAAATAAAGCACGAACTTTAATTAATAATAAGGTATCAATATCCATTCAGCAATTGTAACAAACACGCCACACTAACCTAAGATGCTAACATCAGGGAAACTGAGTGGAGTTAATGGGAACTCGGTACTGTCTTTGCTAGTCTTTTGGTAAATTTAAAACTATTTTTAAAAGGTCTATTAAAAACATATCTACAATAGAACTAAAAATGATATGGAAATCAACTTATTTCACTATACTTTTCTCTCATCATTAAAAAACCTATCCTGACATGCCTTCTTTACTCTTCAAGTTAACCCCAAATAGAAAACGTTAATATACAAAGAAACACTTTACATATTTCCCTTCTTTCTCTCTTTACTTGATGAAAACTACTCTCCTTAGAAACCCTTCTAAGTAACAAGAATCAACATACAGTCTCCCCTCCGTATCTGCAGGGAATTGGTTCCAATCCCACAGATACCAAGATGTGAGGACACCTGAGGCATACAGTGTTTGCATATGATCTACACACATCCTCTGGTACACTTTAAAATCTAAATGCTACGTAAGTAGCTGCCAGCATAAATTCAGGTTTTGCTTTTTAGAACTTCCTGGAATGTTTTCCAAATAGTTTCAATCCAAGGTTGGCTGAATCTGAGGTTGTGGAACCTCGGACCCAGGGTGGACTACAAATGTACACAGCACTTTGCTTCACACGTTCACGATGTCCGTTTAGGACATGATGACAACTTTTAGGACACTTAACACTTAAAACTTTAACATCACAACTGGATGAAAAAACAGAAAAAAGGCTGGGTGGGAAAAACGGCAAACGTTAACGTGAGGGGCGGAATTACAGGTGATCTTTCAACAACCATTAATCTAACAAGCAAAGGCTGCCCTTACGGACCCGGCTGGAAGCTTGAGCTCCAGGGTAACGCCCAGGCGGAGTACCTGCCCCGCGCTGACCCTCGTCCCGCACAGCCCTCGCCCCGGGGAGCATCGCCGCCCCGCGCAGCCCCTGCCTCGGGGCCCCCAGTACCGTGGAGCTACCCGGTCCCAGGGAACCCCCCAGCCCCCGCAGCCCCCAACTCCGGGGCACCCCGTCCCGCGCAGCAACCTGTCCCACGGAGCCTCCACCCCGGCGCCCCC